GAGAGACAGAGAGACAGACAGACAGACAGACAGACAGACAGACAGACAGACAGACAGACAGACAGACAGACAGACAGTACAAACCTTTTAGCATTCCCCAGCAGCTAGGGTTTTGACCTGGGAATTGACCACTCTCGACACTCTCCGAGTCAGACACTGAAGAAAAACTTGTGTCTTTGTAGGTCGATGAGTCTTCTGTCTTGGTAACAGGCGAAGGAGGACCTGACAAATCAGACTGACGTTCAGTTCCTGTGTCCTGTTTAGCCATCGCGAGACTGCTCTTCCTCTCTACACTGAGCGGGTCTGGCTCCCAACTGAATGTGCGTTTGAAAGGGATGGAGACGTGTGGGCGTGGCGTGGCGTTGTGGGTGTGGCTGTCCAGTTTGCCTTGAATTGTGTTGACCTTTTCTTTCTCAGGCTGGATTACAACACTGACTTTCCTTTGAAGAAATATGTTTTGAAATAGAATTGATAAAATATCAGCTGTAAGTTGATGCTGGTATTGTTATTGGCATACCAGCTAAGAGAGAAAACAAACAGAAAGATAAACACGTAAGTACAAGCACAGACACTGACACACACACACACACACACACATACACACACACACACACACACACACACACACACACACAAACACACACACACACACACTCATGCACAAAAAGTCATACAGTTATACATAATTAGTTACTTGCAACTGGAAATCTTGCACCTTTTCAGCGACCACAATCATACGTTTCTGTAGGTACCGTGACATGTCATATGTGAGGCAGCGTAGTGGAATCAGGCTCTCGTCAAAATAATTAATGCAAAGGAACTTGCATTTATCCGCAGGTTTGTGAATTTTTATCAAATATTTGTTTTTTGGCTCAACACCTTTTTATGCCCATTAAAGAACTCATTTCTGTGTGGATTTTTCTGAAAAGCTTTGATTAAAGGCACAAAAAAAGTACATTTTCAGTTACAACAGACTCTTAAGCTAAGAAAATAACTAATCTTTGGCGGCCATTTTCTCACTAATTTTTCTTCTGAAAACAGGTGACCCCCACCTCCTTCATTCGCAATATCTGGACTTGTATTCAAGATAAATGAATATTTTTTTCATCCAAATAAAGACACGTGAAGAAGCTTTAAGATGATACCGATAACTCTACATGCCCAAAAAATTGACGAGAGCCTGATTCCTCCACGCTGCCTCAGATATTTCTTGTCAAACGTGATGAAAGGGTCTTCTTGTTTGTTTTACTGTTCAATTTTTTTTTTTAACCGAGCTCTCCATTTAGATGTGGAACTTGACTATTGTGTGTGTGAGTATGTGTGTGTGTGTTTGTTTGTTTATTTATTTGTTTTTGTGAGTGTATATACCAATATATTGAAATTATACCAACTAGTAGTACTACAATATATTTTACCCTTTTCTACAAACCTGGAAGGGGAAAGGAGAGGATGGGCGGGGGGGGGGACAGAGTTTACCTGATGGCGTCTCCAACACTGCCTTCAGTGTGGGCGTTACCATGTGCATTAGCCCCACCTTCGCCCCGCCCCTTGTATTTGAAGTCCTCTTTGGCCCGTTGAAGCGCCTCCCATTGCCGCCGGCTGGACACGAGTGAGCGAGGCATGAGCATGATCAAGGCAGACACAGAGGCGGTACCGATTCCGAAGATGAGATAGGACAACCACCAGGCACCTACAAACCGCTGATCTTTCGACGTCATCAACGTATCTTGTGAGGGGGGAAAAAAGAAGCGCTGATGGCCCCATTACGGTATAAGTTGTTTGTTGGATGGCTTATGGGTAAATGTGCATTCTGGCGTATTATGTCTTTCAATTTATTTATTTATTTAATTGATGTTTTTTTTTTTTCTTAATTATCATTAATACTGCCCTTAATCCATAAACGTGTTATCGATAAAAATAGACGGTAACATAAATGATGACACT